ATAATTACTTTATTTAATTACACTAAAACCCCACTAGTTAAGAATATTACAAAAAGTTATGCATCCATACCCTTTACAAGAAAAGTAAATACTTAGTATGCTTTTCTAAGAAAATAAAAACACACATGGCATGGAATTTAAATATCATAGATGCATGCAAAACCGGAATCAAATCCGAACACGAAAAGTGAGGTTGTGCCAAGAAAGTGACAAACGGGAAAAAGACGAAAAGTAAATAGTGTCACAAAAGTGAAAATGTAAAAATGTTTCGGTCCTCAAAGGAAGTTGTCAATTTAAAGGAAAGAGTATCGGAAATATTCCCGAGCACTCAAGATGACACTAAGTAACGAAAACCGAATAAAAAAAAAAAAAAAAAAAAAAAAAAAAAAAAAAAAAATCTAAGACATGACTCTCAAACACATGACTCTATGTTTATAAGCTCCCAACCTATATCTTAGTGAGCAAGAATACAAATTATTTGTTAAAAAGGAGTGCAACTACTTGGGGATAAAGTAAAATATTCCCAACCCAAAACAACTCAAAACTCCCAATAAGAATTTGAGACATGCATGACAGGTTCTACTTCCAAACACAACTTTTGTTGGGAGATAATTCAAAAGAGGAAATGTATATGGATGCAATGGTTATACGGAACATATTTAGGGCACGTTTGGCATGCGTTATGATATAATTTTTCTGATATTGGTATCCAAATTTGGACCCATGTCATGTTTGGGATGGCTGATATTGGTTTGGAATAATTTATTACATATGAATTTTTTTTGCTCAAACCCATATCACCAAATTGGTAATATTGTGTGTTTTGATATTATAGGGGGATGAACTAAAACAAATTTCCGAATTTTTCAAAACAAATTTTCGATACCAAACATGGTTATGATTTCAAACCAAAAAACTTCTACAAAAATGATTGTTTTGGAATTGACTAAAAACATAACAAATCGTATACCAAACCGGCCCTTAAGAAAACATACTGATGCTATATGGAAACAAATCTTGAAGGTGAGGGATTTAATGTTTGTTTACTGCAAATACAAATTAAGAAATGGCTCTGATTTTAATCTTCTATTTGATCCTTCGAGGGAAGGTTTTTCTTTTAGTTCAGAAGTTTTGGGGTTGCCAATTTTAGAAGAGTGGACAGACATTCTATAGTGGACTCGAATGTGAAGCATGAGCAATGTGGCTTGTCCTGATACTTTCCCTGCCCAAGCTCTACAAAAGCTGATTAGATAGTGTGGACTCTGGCTCCATGTTATTATTATAATTTTTTTAAAAAATTTTGGGAAGGGCAGTTCTCATCCGCAAAATCTGTTATCTTAAAGCGACTGTGATGGTCACCTATTTTGCAAAATATGCTTTTGCTTATGCTATATGGAGCCATATCTTATAGTTGACTCAGCCCCTTTCCTCTATGCAACAGTTCTAGTTAAATGATTTTTACTTCAATCCAGATCAAGTTCAGCTTTCCATATTGACAAGAAAGATTATCCTGTTGCTTTTGCCACTATCTTCTTGGATGAGAGATGATGGACTCTTGGCCTCAAAATTGAGGATATTCATTCTTTAACTACTCTTGTTTTCACCTCTATCTCAGTTTTATTTAAAATTTATTTCACTGGAAACATATTCCATCGACCTGAATTTTATTCACATTAACCATTCTATTGTCTGCCAAAATATCAAACCCTTTTGAAATTGCATCCGTTAAACAAGTTCCATTTCATGCCCGACCGGAGAGGTAATCAGGGGCGGTTCAATATATTTGAGATTTTAGGTGAAAAATATAAATGTGGTCTTTTAATATTTAATATATATATATATAGTCAATTATCTAAAATATATACAGTAAATTCAATTAATCTTTCACATAATTGATCTTAGGCTACGTTTGGTGTGTAGGAATGGAATGGAATATACTCAGAGTTACCATTGACAAAAAGTTGCAGGACTTTCAACCAAATTGCAGGTGTTAATTTCTTTATTTATTTATTTTTGATAAATACGTATTAAATCTCTTTTATTTTCTCAGTATATCACTTTTTTATTTTTATTATTATTTTTTTATATCTTTGTGTTGAAACATTTGTGTAATCATCTGGAACCAAAAGTGGACTTGTTTGACTTCCAACTAAAAATTGGTGCTTAAGACAAATTACAGGTTACCTCATAATTGTTTTTAATTACACAAGTATTTGGAAATATTACCAGGTTTTTTGGTTATAATGATGATTTATTTATTTCCTTAACTGTATTTGAGTTGATCTCATGGTGCACAGTTTTTTTTAATATATTATTAAGATTGATATATCATTAAATATATATATATATATATATATATATACACACACACACACATATATATTTTATTTTTTAGCCTTTACATCAACTTCTTAAGTTAAATATTCAATAATGGTGAGTTGGTTTAGTTATAATTTTTTTTATTTTTCTTTCCTCCAATGAAAAGGGCATTTTTGAGAAAAGGCATTCCTTTCCTGATTTAATGATACTCAACCAAACAATAGAATAGTTATAATCATTCCATTCTATAAAAATTTACCGTATCACACCAAACATTAAAATAGTAATACTCATTCCATTCCATTCTCATTCTCATTCCATTCCAAATTTCATTTTATTCCATTCATACACACCAAACGTAGCATAATAGAGTTATATAACTTATACTTAATGAAAAATGAGAAAAAAATATGTCAGAAATAAGGAGGAAAAAAGAACACAAAGAAATAAAAATTGAAATAAGAATATGAAAAGTTTTACAAATTCTTCCAAAAAAAAAAAAAAAAACATGATGAGGAGCAAGAGAGAGAGAAAAGAGGTAACATAACGATAGAAATTTTATGACTCCTATTAAATATTTATCGGTACAAATAAAAATTTTAAGGAGGTAAAAATTTAAAGAAATAAAAAAAAAAAAAAAATTAGAGCCTTTTTATTGGGTGGAGTTTAATAGTAAGAAGGAAATAATATTTCTTAGAATATAATATGAAAAGTTTTACAAATTCAACCGGCGACTTGCCTAAGTCGCCTAAGGGTCCACCAGCATGGAGGTAACCATCAAATCCAGGGAAAACGCGGAAAGAATTGACCAAATTAATTCTTAACCCTTAGATGCATTAGTGTAGAACCTACCTAGTACCTCTTGTACAAGTCTAAAAACCAGTCATGCACTCATTTGGGCTGTTTAATTGGTTTTAAATATTATTTTCCTTTAGGTATGCATTTGTTTAGGAAAGTTACAAAAACGTGAAGTTATGGGAGTCTATTTACATAATAATGGAGTCAAAGTCCACACTATTTAAAGTCATCACTTTCTTCAAAGTATGACGTGAACATGAAAAAAAATCATGTTTATTTGTCCAAATTATCCTTAATAGTTTCAAATATTACTTTTATGCATGTAAATACTTTTGTGCATGTAAATATTACTCTTGTGTATAGAGATAACACTTTTGTACATATAAGTACCACTTTGTGAGTGGATATATCACTCTTCAAGGTCAGTCCTGGTAATAGGCGACCTAGGCTGTCTCTTGGGACCTCCAATTTGAAAGGGCTTCAAAATTTTAAATTTCTTTATATATAAGTTATATTATAATTATTTTCTAATATTATTAAAAACTAATCAATGTAGATATTTAATACACGACCTCAAAAATTTATATCCTAAAATAACTTTTTTATTTGGTCTCTTTTCTCTCTTCTACCCATTCACGTTTTTAATTAAAGTCGAACTAGTACCAAAAAAATGGGCCTCATAGATATATCTCCTTAAATTACACTTTTTTTTTTTAAATTTTTTATTCTATCTATATCTTCATCTCTCTCCTCATACAGAATCTTAATATTGGTCCCAAATATATATATTCTTAAATAATTTTTTTTCTCTCTCATTCACAATTTTTACAAGACTAAAATTTTCATTTTTCGTTAAGATATACTCCCAGTAAATAAGTAAATATTAAATATATATTTAACGTTGTTCGGGAAAGTGGTGAAACTTTCCATATTTTTTTTCTAACTTTTATTTTTTAATTTTTTCTCTTTTTTTTATTCCTCACATACTTTCTCTCCTCTCTCAACAAATTGTCTTCCTCATCTCTCAATACAAGTTTATAATTTTTTTCTCTTCTCCACTCAATACTCATTACTCTCAATTTGAACCCATTTTTATTATATTGAACAATTTGTATGAGCATTAGATTGGAGTTTTCTAAATCAAATTCTATTGTTATTTTTTAGTTTTATTAACTTTTATTATTATAAATTTGTGTGTGTATATATATATATATTTCAAATATTTCTATATATTAACCAAACTTAAAATCAATAATCTAATTAGTAATTTTGAATTTTACAAAATAAGAAGGATTATTTTTAAATAAATATCATTTAATATTAATATATTATTAAAAAAATATCACCTACCAAATCATTTGGAGCCGCCCTTGAAACCTTATGTATAAAGACCTTGCATTGGGAATCTCAGTATCGACCCTGTTACCCTTGTGCAAAGAAGTACCACTTTAATGTAGGTAAGTATTACTCTTGTACAAAGATACCATGTTTTGTGCATATCATTCTAATTACTTAGTTTGCATAAAAATGATATTTGTGTACATTTGTACACAAAAATAGAATTTGCATACGTAAAAGTTATACCCGAAAATATTAAGAGTATTTTGAATAAATGAATAATATTTTTTCATGTATACGTCTAACTTTAATCAAGTAGATGACTAAAAACTATTGACTTTCACTCCGTCTGGGAGTAAATAGATTTAAAAAAACTTCACTTTTTTTTGTAATTTTCCCTATTTGAGAAAGTTAGATGGGTTAAATTAATTAAGTGGCCCATGGGGATTAAATAAAGTTATCAGTACCTTTCACGAGTCAATGGTCATGGTCAACCCTCAATTAACCAACCATTATTCATTCAAAGCCGCCTTCAAATACCTAATGGCCAAACGCAACTTCAATTCTCAGGTCCACAAACAAAAAACTAATCAACAATGTCTCTCTCCTTTCCTCTCCTCCTCTTCTTCTCCTTCCTCCTCATCTCAAACCCACCTCCGTCTTCAGCTCAACAAAACAACTCTTCCTCCTTCTCCTCCTCAGACTCACCATGGACTCCCAATCAGAACCGAACCCTCCTCTCCCCCAAATCCGTCTTCGCGGCCGGTTTCCAGCCACAAATCAACTCCTCAAACCTCTACACCTTTCAAGTTTGGTACCACAACATATCCACTCCATTAACAGCGGTTTGGACTGCCAATAAGTCCCCGGTGAATAGCTCCGCCACCCTCGTCATCACTAGCTCCGGCGAGCTCCGACTTAGTACTACTCCTTCCGGCAATAACTTGTGGCCCAACAAACCCGTTGGATCCGCGAACTCTACCCGACTCGTCCTCCGGGACGATGGTCGCCTTGTTTTCGAAAATTGGTCAAGCTTTGACCATCCAACCGATACAATTCTTCCGAACCAGAAGATCCTGAATGAAACAACAATATATTCAAAAGATGGAAGATACAGTTTTGAAAACTGCACGCAACTCGTTTTCGGGGGAAATGATAGTTACTGGACCAGTGCTGCGTTTCAGATGCTCGATGATAACGGAAAAGTGACTCAGGCCAACGGGGGTTCGTTCATTACGTCAGACTTCGGAGCTACCCGGTTGAGAAGATTGACTCTCGCAAATGATGGGAATCTAAGATTGTTCAGTCTGGATCCGAATTCGGGTCAATGGGCCGTGGTTTGGCAAGCAACGCAAGAATTGTGCACGATACACGGCACTTGTGGTCCTAACTATATATGCTTGACTGATAATTGGGATAATACTACTTGTGTTTGCCCGCCGGGTTTCGGGCGAATTTCCGGCGTCAAAACATGTGAGAGGAAGATTCCGATCAGAAACCTCCAAAACAGCAAGTTTCTACCTCTGGACTATGTCAACTTTTCCGGCGGATCGAACCAGACCAACCTCAATGTCCAGAATCTGAAGGCTTGTCAAGACAGTTGCTTGTCCGACCCGAATTGTGAAGGTTTCGGGTTCAAGTATGATGGGCAAGGTTACTGTGTGCTGCAGCTAGAGAGGCTGCTATATGGGTATTGGTCTCCGGGTACAGAAGCAACTTTCTTTCTTCGGGTGGATGGATCCGAAACAGACAAGTCCACCTTCACTGGCATGACGAGCCTTCTCGAGACGACATGTCCGGTTCGGGTCAGTCTCCCTTTACCACCCAAAGAATCCAATACTACAACCCGGAATATCGTGATAATTTGTACTCTGTTCGCTGCTGAGCTTTTAAGTGGAGTTGTTTTCATTTGGGCCTTTGTCAAGAAGTATATCAAGTACAGGGATATGGCTCGGACCCTCGGGCTTGAGCTTTTGCCCGCGGGTGGGCCGAAAAGGTTCAGCTATGCGGAGCTCAAAGCTGCCACCGGTGATTTCTCCAACATCATAGGAAGGGGCGGGTTTGGAGATGTTTATAAAGGGGAGTTGAACGATCACCGGATCGTGGCGGTTAAGTGTCTTAAAAATGTCACCGGAGGTGATGCCGAGTTTTGGGCCGAGGTCACCATCATTGCACGGATGCACCACCTCAATTTGGTCCGACTCTGGGGGTTTTGCGCTGAGAAGGGTAAGAGAATACTAGTATATGAGTATGTGCCTAATGGTTCACTAGACAATTTTTTATTTCAGTCGGGTCGGGTCAGATCTACATCTGGTGAGGGAGAAGATGGAGGGGATATGGAGTTTGGACAAAAGCCGATACTGGATTGGAACATCCGGTACCGGATTGCCCTGGGAGTGGCGAGAGCAATCGCGTACTTGCACGAGGAGTGCCTTGAATGGGTGCTGCATTGCGACATCAAACCCGAAAATATTCTTATTGGGGATGACTTTTGTCCGAAAATTTCGGATTTTGGGTTGGCCAAATTGAGAAAGAAAGAGGACATGGTGAGCATGTCTCGGGTTCGGGGGACCCGTGGGTACATGGCTCCAGAATGGGTCAAGATGGACCCGATCACACCGAAAGCTGATGTATACAGCTTCGGAATGGTACTGTTGGAAATTGTTAGTGGGGTCAGGAATTCTGAGATCCAAGGATCAAAAATGGACAGTGAGGATTGGTACTTTCCAAGGTGGGCGTTTGATAAGGTGTTCCAGGAGATGAAGGTGGAGGACATGCTGGACCCTCGGATCAAGCACTGTTACGATAGCCGGGCCCACTTCGATATGGTGGATCGGATGGTGAAGACGGCGATGTGGTGCCTGCAGGACCGGCCGGAGATGAGACCATCAATGGGGAAAGTTGCTAAGATGCTGGAAGGGACAGTGGAGATAATGGAACCCAAAAAACCCACTATTTTCTTCTTAGTAGACGAATAAGTGCAAAGTGTCGTTTGGCTTCACAAGAAAGATGTCAAATACGTAATATATTATATATCTATGTTTAGCATGCTAAAAATAAGGAGATTGTACTTAAAAACACTCGACATATATATATATATAGTGGAATGCGTTGAAGTTGAAGAAGTATTGTGTTATTTTGTCATTTCTGAGTTGGGTTATAATTTAAGAGCAATGATACATGTTTAGCATTTAACAAAAGATAGATTATATATAATTTAAATTAGTTATATCTATATATATATATTTTTTTTATTTATGTGTAAGCCATTAACATTTTATGATTTTTTTAAATAATTTAAATTCTTTTTTTATCAAGGTTTTTTTTTTTTTTTTTTTTTGTTTTACTTTTTTGTTTTGCCTTGTTCCCCACTATTTATTTGCCCTTTTTCTATAGAGAGAAAGAGAGTGTAGAGAGATAAATTTCACACACAAATAAAGATTATATCCATACAATTCTTTATTTCAATGTAACTTCCGGGAAGAAAAATCTCTTAACATAAGGAATCAGTTCTTTCTCATCGATGTAAACGATTTTTATGCACACTGCAATCCAGGCTAAATTCAAAAAAAATCTGTTCCTCTCTCTCTAAATAAATTTTGTATGTATATATGTATTTTTGTGTAGGTGTGTGTATGTTATTTTTTTATTTTTTTTTTTAACTTTATTAAATTTGGATTGGATTAGAATAATTAGTTATGATTTTCTTAATCTCTATAAAAGTTGAATTTCTCAAAATTTTGGTTGGTATATAGTTGTATTAATTTTTAGTCCATAAGAATACATAACATTCTTTCCCGGTCCAATATCTGCAATTTTCAATATTAATACTATAACATAGTTTTGTTTTGAATCTCAAATAAGTTTCTAAAAATGTAACAATGTTTATTTATTACTTTTTTTTTCCTTTTATTTTACAATATTCTTTGATTTAAGTTAGTCAAAATTAATTTATTATTGTTTATTTTTTATTGATATACTATGGATATGGAATGATTATTAATTTGTGCAAGTATTACATGAATTTCGTATTTTTTTTTTATAAATTAATGTCTAATTGTTTAATTGAATTTTTTTATAACTTTGACATAAATCTTTTTTGTGTTTGTTCAGAAAATTTAATAAAAACTTTCTTTAAATAATTAATTTTTTTATTTAAATAAATTGGTAAAAATTTAGATAGATATATTTTTATATAAATATAATAAATAGTAAAATATTTTGACGAGGTAATATTTTTTTTTTTGCAAAAGTTCTAGCTAAATAATATAATTTTGGCCGCACAACCTCAAAATCCTGGCTCGGCCTTGGTGAAGTCATGTGATGGATTAGTGGTGTAATTACCTTCGTAGTATGACAATTGAGATAAGGTACCACTGATTGCTAATGAAATGAGGTCCCAATGGATCTATTTGGATTTTACGAGAAGTGGTGAAAGTGATTTGGATGACTCACAGGTTATATATGAGAATTCAGTCTGGTCCAAATCAGACTGCTTGAACATTATTCATTTTCTTCAACCACTGACCATGACTTTTGTGACGACCCTGGATTTTTCAATCCAGTGTGTCTTGTGATGACCTGAAACGGATCCAAAATGCGAAAGCTAAAGAGAAACAAGACAGTGGTCTCCCAAGGCATAAAACACCTCTAAGACCTTAAGATGACCTTCCATGAGGTCATGGAACTTAATGAGAACTGATGCGGGAGCAAAGGATCAGAAAAATAACAATTAAGCCCTCAGGGACAAAATGGTCATTTCTAAAAATATGGATTCAGGTGCTACCGAGCACACCACTAGAAAGACAATAAAAAACTAATCAAGATGGATTCAAAAATCGTATGATTCGGAATCCGGATGAAAGAGAATGGCAAGATGAAGAAGATGAACACTAAAGGCTCAAAGGGTAAAATGGTAATTTCAAACTGAAATGGATACCCCCGTGTATGCCACTGGATAGAAAACGAAAAATTAACCAAGATGGACTCAAGAATCACTTGATTCAGAGTCCGGAAGACAAAGATATCAATTCCTGAAGTCGAAGGAAGGGAAACCTTATCCCGGTTCGAACCAAATCCTGACACTACTTCACTAAAACTTTAATAACATGAGCTACAAATGGAATCTAAATCTCTAATTGGTATCATTGGAAAGCTTATTTCGACGCGGTTAGTTTAGATAAAGAATGGACCAATTCAAAGTTAAAACGAGTGACATATGGCCCGTTGAAGAAAGTTGTCTAGAGTAGGAACAGTAACCGCGGGCGCCCGCTCAAATGGGTAGAACCGTGGGAAATGGTGCGGAGCAGCCCTGTGCATGGTGGGGGCCCGCCCAAGACCCGCGAGCGCCCGCCCAAATGGGCAGAACCATGGGTCAAATGCAGAAACAGTATTTTAGCAGAAAAACGAGTTTGTGACGCGGTTTTCGAGGCCAAGATGACATTTTTCGGAAAAACACGAAGAAGGAAATCCCCCTAAAATCACATTTTCTATGTGATGAAGTTAAGAACGGAATTTATTTCCCAAAGAAAATACCCAAAATGCCCTTAAGCTAGAATTTTCAACAAAACGGTGAAATGAATCCGTAGGAGGCTCAAAACACAAACGAAAGGGTTTTTTTTATAGAAACAATCATTCACGTAAATGTAACTTACTTATTAGGACGTTCTACAACGGTCCATGACTTAAAAATACCACCAATGCAAAATCCGACCCCCCAACGGGGCAAAAAGGCAAAAATGGAACTTGGAATGAAAATTCGGAATCCAAAAATACAAAACGGGGTCAAATGACCGTTTGGCCCTTGGCTACACTTCAAACATGATTTATAAGACCCTATGAAAGAATGAAAACGAAATTCTCGCACCCGATGCAACCATGGTGAGATAATGACTTGGAATTTTTCAATATTTTCCTAATATCTCAAGAAGTTAGAAGTTACAAAAAAATTTAATATACCTGTCAATGGCCTCCGGCCTCATCTCATACATGTTGAATACATTGAAAGGAGTGCACTTAAGTAGACATTACATACATGGAATCAAAGAATACAAGTTTTACATATAAGTCTACAAAATGACATTTCATGCTAACATTTGCATGAAATGGAAACTTGAAAGCTATATGACATCCAAGGAATGCTAAGCATCACGAACCAAGTCTTCTTACCTGAAATATGCCCCAGTAACGTAGGGGTGAGCAACATAAAGCTACTTGTAGGAGATGAGCATGCATCGACCTAGCATTTTACAATTTTATCACCTTAAGGTGAAACATGTCAAATGAGCTCATACCACCTAACGTCTATGTCAAAGTGAGACTCGGGGAGCATCCTAAGCTACCTAAGAGTCTAAGCAACAAGAATCATGATATATATACATATATGAAATGAATCAAGGTTGGGATAATCTAAAAACAAGACAAGAAAGATGCTTGAACATAGATTTACATGAATTGCATTATCAATACAATTAAACAAGGTTTGGAGCATTCCAATTAACATGATAAGAAAAAAACATGAAGTCTAGGACAATACATAATATCTATGCAAGTAAACAAGATTGGGGCATTCCAATGAACATGACAAGGATTATACATGAAATCAAGTACAAGGCATAATGCCTATGAAATTAACAATGTTGGAGCATTTCAAGTAACACGATAAGAGTAATACAAAAACTCAATGACAAGGCATAATATCTATGCAAGTTCACAAGGATGGAACATTCCATGAAACACGAAAAGAGTCATACGTGAAGTCAAGAATAAGGCATAATATTTATGCAATTAACAAGATTGGAACATTCCAATTAACACGATAGAAGCAATACAAGAAATTAAGATCAAGGCATAGTATCTATCCAATTAACAAGGTTGGTGCATTGCACATAGCACGACAAAGACAAGGTGTGAAATCAACCAATGTGGAAATTCGGATATCGCCCGGATTAAAACCGTACTCTTGAGATCACTTTAGGGCTACTAACACATGGGTACCTTTCCCCTAGTGCGCACTATAGTTGTAGGAGGACATTCCCCTGCACTAGAACCAAGTCCTAGCCATGTCAATTCTTGATTGATATCCCAAGTCCCAAAATCAACAAGTTATGCAAGTTAAGATTGTATCAAATACAAGAAATGCATTAACCACGTTTCATGCACAACCAAGATTTTGGAACATACAAGTCATGCCCTAAGTACTCAACTATGATGGCATGTGAAATGTCAAGAAATCATAGTGTGCAACTATATAGACAACAACCATGATATATAGTGCTTGGAATTCATTGAAGAAAATATACCACAAGTATAAGATACATGATTCAATTACCTTCTAAGCAACACATGTGTAATTAAATCATTTCAAGACAAGTACATGTTCATTAAATACGTTAATGAAACCTAGATACAAGGGGTCATGATTATATCGATGGGAGCATAAAAAGGGAAATTAATCTACTTAAGGGATCAAGTTATCATGATTTCAAGGTAAGTTCAAGTGTTCTACAACAAGGCATGTCAAGGATCATGTCAAGGCCAAGTTCAATGTCAAGTTACAAGTTCACTTCATACAAGATGCAACCATGTGAATTAAGTTCCATACAAAGGAATTAATTAAATATAAGTTTCAAAACTTATCAGATTATTCTTGATTTGATACACGTGAAAGAACTTGTCAAGGAAATCATGAATACAAGGTTAGAAACTTAATCTAGCTCATAGAACCATTGAATGGATTTTAATTAATTCATTTAATTAAAATCTCTAGATTTTAAAAGTCATCCAAGTGACCTCAATTTAATGTATGTTATACAACATGTCAAGACTTGTTTTAAAAACACGATATAAGTGAATTACATACAAGATACGACCATGAGTATTAAACTTTAATACTAGAAAAATAATAAATGATAGATTTCAAAACCTAATGAAATATTCTAGATTTAATATATATGAAACTAGATGACATGTACATCATGAATATCAAGTCGAAAATCAAATGGAGTGAATAGTACACTCGGGGAAAATTAATTAATCAATTAATTAAATATTCTCTAGATTTTTAAACAACTCCGATTACTCCCAATTTAATCTATGTTGATGAGCATGCTAGGGCTTAATATAATATGCTAACACATATTGAT